TCTCTCTCTCTCTGTGTTCAGCTCCTTTGCTCATCTGCTCATGAATACACACAGATGTATGGCCCACCGTCTGCAAGCAAACGCACACAGGCAAGCATTCCTCTTCTCACTTGCAGACGAACTGGTCTACAATTTTGGTGCACCGCTTGCACTTGACGTAGCAGCACCAGTGGAACTTGCAGTGGCAGCGCTCCACTATCTGGGCCTTGTACTGGTCGTAACCTCTGCCGCAGCACATCAGCTCACACCCATCCATGCCCTCTGAGGTCTTGTTGCAAAGGCGCCCCACTGTGCCCAGGGAGCCCGTGCTTTGGTTCTTCAAGCAGTAGTCTGGACTGGACTCGATGTAGACCAGGTCGTGGCTCGTGGGAGCGTTGAACTTGCTGTGCATCTGCACCAGCCTGCCGCGCGTGTTGAGTTTCATGGACGCGGCGCTGTCGTACTTTTCCTTCAGCGCGTCGCCCACCTTGCGGAAGTCGGCCAGCTGCAGCCAGCAGGTCTTTAGGCTGCAGGAGCCCGATACCCCGTGGCACTTGCATGACACGTGGGCAAGGTCTGACACCGTCTAAAAAAGAGAGGACGAAATAGAGAAATGAAATAGACGGTTTAATGAACAGACGAAGAGCTCGCAAATGGGATTAGTCTTCTCAGGAAAGCTGCAGAAAAAAATAAGTGACACGTGTTTCGTATTGCAAAAATTGTCCCGTCTGTGTAAATATTTGCATAATGTGCCGCTCGTGATCTCATGCGGCACCGCTTTGCTATAGAGCACAGAATGATCCTGTCCATGTCTCCAGTGGCGCATGAAATAAAATGTTGTCCACTCATTTGTCCTACTTGAAAGAGTACAGCCTGGCAACAGATATCTGGCATTACATTTCCTTTGAGGTGGTTTCAAGATGTTTGGAAACGAAAAGAAACCCCAGAGCTGTCTCCAATGACTCCATCTCCCTACAGATCAAAGCCTCAGGAGGGGAGAGCAGATGGAGCTGTAACACAGATGATCAGTGGAGACCTGTCTGACCGACCTGGATTGTCTCACTTCCAAACCCTCTTTTTGCTCTGTTTCTACCACTGGTTGGTCTCAATTTGGAGCCTGCAGTGTGTGTGTGTCTTTTTGCTTGTTTCTCGTTTGATGACTTCTACAGTCCTCTGTGTGTGCGTATAACTTGGGTGTCTTACCCGTCTTCCTGCCTCGTTATTGTGGAGATTCATCAACAGCCGTGCACTCTCATATGTGCCCTTGGGATAGCTTTTCTCCCTCTCTCGCGCGTCCACGAACTCCTTGGAGAACCTGTAGCCGTAGTTGAGGTTGTCCCCACAGCCGCCCCACAGCCAGTCTCGGGGAAGATCTTTGGGGCGAGCGGCACGACTGCACCCACAGCTGGAGAGCTCCCCTTCTCTGCAGGCACGGCTCACCGCGTTCACCACCCCTGCTGCGCTGATGGCATAAGTGAATGCGGTTTCTCGACTGCCTGCAGATACACAAACATGAACGCTACGTCACATTCGACACAATAAAAGACTGCTGTTTTATCGCTTGGCATATTGGCCCAATGCTTCCATTTTTTTTTTTTGCGAGCTAAGCATGTGTATTTATTTTACACTGAATATGTCTTACTGTCATTTTGCTTTAAGAGCCTGTGTGGTGTTATGAGATGTGATGTCATATGACAGCATTCACCATACACTTAAGATTACAGAGCACTTGAGCCAAGTGCTGCAGGCTCATCATCACCAACATGTTCAACAGTGTAATCTGGTTTGCTGTTGTTGGGCTCCGGCCAGAAAGAAGAGAGCGCCCTCCAGTGACAGAGATCCTTCCTAACAAGCAGCTGCCACTTCACCCAAATTGAAAGTGACAGCGGCTCTTTTGCTTTATCTGTCATGACTGAGTGATTCTGGAGCCACTGCTCATTAACTCCCACTGTTTCTACCCTCAACATTTCCTCTATAGAGATGAGAGCTCGGGAGACTTAAAGAAAACACGCAGGAAAAAATGCACATAAGCAGTTTTTGTTGTCACTCTACAAAGCCACAGACGGGAGGAGAAATCTAAGACGAGGAGATAAGCAGCTAAAGAAGAAACAGACGAGCAAGCTAAGGGGCTGCTTGTTGACACTAAAGACCAGGGCTGCTAGGCAATAAAAATGCACAGCTCGTATACCTGCTGGGCCGAACCTTTAGAGAGTCTGCTGTGATGACAATAACAGATGGACAGAGAAAGGGAGATGAGGGAAACAAAAGAAAAGTTGGGGGGGAAACGATAAGTTAAGAAAGAGATAAAAAGAAAAAAGAAAAAAAGAAAAATGGAAAAGTAGACACACATACGAAGGCAGAAAAAGACAATGCAGAAGAAGAGAAAAGATGCATAAAGAAAACTTTTGGAAACTCTCAAAGATGTCCAGGTGGGAAACTTTGGCAGCAGCAGAACTGATCAGAGAGAGCAGGGGATTTATTAGTTTAGTGCAACGTTTAATCCAGCCTGAGGATATCGGCCTAATAGCGGACCTGTAGACAGACAAACCGTCATCTCCCACACTGCTGCCTCGCTTCTAATGCACCCCACCCTGGAGCTGGCCAAGCCAGGCAGGGGAGAGTCTCAACCCAGCCACGCCACCACCTCCTGGAGTTTCTGCTTTTAAATCACCAACGGTGTCCGTAAGTCAGCAGACAGACAGCGAGACAGACTTTCATACAGACAACCATAGAGAGGGAGGACATGTTTACTTGGCCCGTGGTGGACCGAGATGGAATCACGGTTGGGGAGGGAGAAGAGGAATGGGAGAACGGCTGCTGATGAGATTTCTATGAAGACTGATCTGTGGAGAGGGAGTCAGCTGCGCCAGAGACACAGAAAGGCTGAATCGCCAAGAATAGTGTAGCCTCGCACAAGGTACATACATGAGCACGGCGCATTAAACGGTTGGTTCGACTACACAGAAACACAAAAACCCGAGTGGCATTTATCCACCAGATAGTCTCAGCCTATGTGCAGTGTTTTAGGATCTCTGTCTCTGAGAAGTCTGTCACTAACATAATACGAACCAGGGTAAAGGAAATGTAATTTTCTTTGTATTTAAACATCCACCAACAACCTCTCTTTCCAAAAACAATGTCCTGTTTACTGAGGAATCATCTGCAAACTTTGGTTTGATCAGGTTTCAGTGGAAAAAAAAAAAAAAAAAGTCACCAAGAAAACTGTTGACAGTGTGTTTGGCAGATTATCCAGAGTAATGAGGACATAAATTCTGGAAAGACAATTGCTGTTGAGCGCGATAAATGTTATTTCTAAATCTGAGAGCACCACAAGTTAAATTCATTTCGGCATTTATTCCATCAGTTGCACTGGGGAGAGAGAGAATACATCTCAAAATGAATAACTCATGGTTTTTTTTTTTCCTATTTATTTATTTAATTCTAATTTGGATGAACGGACCACTTAAAAATTAGAAACATGAACAAGATATGCTCAAAGGGAATTTAAAGGAATCTGGAAACGTGTACACAACACAAGCTCTGACTGGTTTTACATTTACCAAATGTGCTCCATTCAGGTTTTGACACCAAGAAATCACATCACAACGCTGACATTGTATACCTTCTTTAGAATTTGCCTGGAGATGATCAATGAACGGCAAGGAGCCTTCACGTTAGCTTGAAGGTAAAATGCAAAGAAAACTAAAAGGAAACTATGTTAAATTATGGCATCCACAAACAGGAATCTCTTTTAGGGAAGGATTTTAAGGTTCTTGAACTTTCGATACACTGCACGTACATGCGCGCACACACAGAGACACCGTAATCTCTGACAAGGTGATATATCGGTGCACACACTCACTGCACTCCCATTACTTGTAAATACAGGGCAACTACAGTCCAGAGTGAGTGTGTGTGTGTTAGATTGTCTCCCATTCATCAGGGGAAAAGCAGATTCTCTGCCTCCCTCCTGCTCCACGTCGGGGGCAGGTTTAGCAGGCCAAAGCCACATGTGATTTATCCAGCAACCTCACCCACCAACTATTCCCTCCACACAGCTGCTGAGAATCAGCAGCCCTATACATTTCACACACACACGTCTCACAAACACACACACACAAAAAAAAGAGTGTCAGTCAGAAAAAGAGAAAAACAAAAAAAGAAAGCACAGTTCGAAATAACCCTGGTGAGTATGTGTGTATTGTAATGTTTGCTAACACACACACATCGGTGGTTGCATCTATATTAATCACCTGTGTCTTTGTGTTTATGTTTCTTTAAAAAAAAAAAAAAAAGCTCCTTTATATATTGTTTGCCCATTTCTTACCTATTTGCATGACGCGTCCAAAAACGGAGGAGTTGTCCACCGTGCTGCAGTTCCAGCGCCGGTGTCTGAACTGGTACTGGCACTCTCTGATGCCCGTCTTGGCACCTTCACCGATGTACTGCATGTGGTCCTGGTAGAGCTGGCACAGCTTCTTCTGGCCCTGTGACAGGCCCACCAGCTGGCTGCACAGAGGCTGTGCACCGATGATGTAGGCCTCAGGGATCAGTAAAGGGTTCATGGCCAGCGACCTGGGTGACGGGGACACATAACGCAGTGTTTTCAATCATGCGAGAATCAGAACAAATGTCGGCAAGTTTTCAAAGCTGTAAAGTCACAATCAGCAGCTGATTGGTCCCTCTCTATCGCTGATGAAGTCATGCTAATACTTGAAACGAGGTGCAGTTAGTTACTGGAAGGAGAAAAACTCTGTACACTCTTATCTTTTAATGGCATTGGGCTGAAAAGTCGTTTGTCATTTAGTGCCAAGAACATACAGGAAATGAAGTATGGACAAGGAGGGGGGAAAGAACAGTCAGGGAGTGGGAAAGGAAAATAAGAAAAACTTATTACAAGAATGCATAACGGAAAATAAAAAGCAAACACGACACAAACATATTGCTTTTGGTATTTAGTGCCTTAGCGCGATTTGTCAACCTTTTTATTCTCGTATCCAAGCAATGCGTACTCATGCCTCGTTGCCACAGGTTGCATACTGTACTCCTATGAACTATGAGCACTTCAACCGTTTTTTATTTTAGACATTTCCATCAATTTTAACGGCCGAAGGAGGCAAAAACTCTTTTGGCAAAAAAAGGATAAGATGTGAGGTGAAGATAAGTGATAAAACATACACATAATTTAGTGTTTTTCGGAAATGTTTTTCCTTCTTTCTGACCCTAACTCACAAGCCTTCAGATTTGTCGTGTGAACCCTTGGAGTTTCCTGAGTTCTGACCCCAGGTTGGGAAGCATCGTCTTAAAGCATAGCATGCAGCTGACTACAAGCAATGCCAGGTGGAAAAAAAAATATGTTTGACATATTTTGGGAGGTGGATTTTATGACAACCCTTCGCTCACACAAACTCAACACTTAAAGAGTTGATAAGTAGGCGAGTTTCGCCGCTATTTTACAGTACCAGAAAGGGAACATTTGATCATTTAATCGAAAGCAACTGCTCCATTCAATTTTGTTTAAGAGAAAGCAAGGGAAATAAAAAATGGTCTACAAGAGAGAGGAACAAACACAGCTGAAACACAGGGAGACGGGAACACTAGTATGAGCATCTGGTTCCAGGCCACAGGACAATTAGAGCAGCCCATCCCTGAGCCCCTAGAGAGAGACAATTAGCCCCCAGTGTAACCTGATCGACTGAGGAAACTCAGCAGCGAGGGAACACAGACTGAATACACAGACAACATATACACAGACATACGCACATAGGCACACAGAAGACATAAAAAAAAAAACCTGACATCCACATTGTCTGCAGACGGACACTCGGCCTCACACACACACACACACACGGCAGTCAGCAGGCCCACCGCTCCAACGCTCTAAATCATTCACACCTGTGTGTCCTCTCCAAGAGGAAACTGAAAGACACACAAAGTTTGCGCTCCAAACTCAGCCTTCCAAAGGGCTTGTGGTCGTCCTCAGCCGGATCTGTAATCTGACTCATTATTTGAACTTTAATGTAGCTGCTTACTGAGCTAAATCCATTAAAATGTGTTTATCTGAACAAATAGTCTTGGAATTCTTCAGATTATTATTTTAATACAGTTGGGCCATCACCACATGATGTCGTCACTCACTTAAATCTGCTCATCTGAAGTAAATAAAAACCTTACCCAGGAACTTTGGGTTTGAGCGTCCCATGTTCACAACCAAGCACACTTCTTCTTTTTTTTTTTGAATTATTTGTACACAAAAAGAGAAGCATTGCACGCAATTATTCACTAAGTGCACAATTAGACAGAAATACATAAACGGCTACCGGATGTGAAGAGTTGTGATTTGCTTTAAGTGGCGCTTCTGAGGTACTTTGTAAACAGTATACCCCCCTATCAGAAGTAATCTGTGTGTTTAAGTGCAACATGCATAAATATAGACTCTTCTCCAAATAGCAACAGGGCATGTGTGTACACACACACACACACAGGCACAAACACACACACAGAAAGTGTTCGTGTTTGCACATATTTGGGAGGCGACTCATAAGCCACAGCATTCTATGTTTTCTATAATATTCATAATTTTGGTTTGGCAATAAGTGAAGAAAGAAAATAAGGGAGAAAAAAGGTCTTCCTGAAAAGCTAATGTGCCACAGTCAGCATGTTCTATTACTCCATATGTGGTGAAGCTTATTTAGCAAACATGTGCAACACAAGGCTCAAACTGATTCTGAACTCTGAAAGTACAAATATACATACTAAATAAATGTTTGTTTTTTTTAAATCATCCCCCAATCTATAGCTTTTCAGGCTCTGTTGTTCCATTTATGAGAGAGAAGAGAAGGAAATGCCTTTTGAAAGCTGACAATCTTCACTTGCCGGATGATAAGTAACGCTGTGAACAAATTAAGACAAACACAGACATCTTTACATATGGAGGGAAAATGAATGCATACCACCACGAGTTGGCCTCCACCACCACCTGCATGAGGAGCGTGAGGAGCGTGAGGGCAAAGACGCAGTGCCTGGAGTCCAACACGCTGCCAAAGGGCCAGCAAACCGGCCGACACACACAGCCCAGGCCCAGGTTCATACTGCCACTGATCTGAGGGAGAACAGAACAGGATGCACGTCAGTCTGCCTGCTTGTTGCTCTCACACACACACACACAATAAAAGAAAAGACACAGAGGCAACAGATATCCGTGATGTCAAAATATGTGTTTCAGATGTATTCCTGCATATCTCCACATGTCATTTAAATGCAAACAGCCAAAGCAGCGTGTGTGATGAAAGCCCCGAGGCCATCAGCGGTTGCGCAGTTTGGCAACAGGTCTGAGTGTGAATCATGTAAGACTGATAGACGTGCAGTCAGAGGAGACACGACGACAATGAAGCCTCAGCAAGACGCATTCCTCACATTTTACTTTGCTCAGAGAAACACATCCACAAAGGCAGAGAGACTGACAGAGGCCTTGTCAGATAGGATGAGTGTGTGTGTGTGTGTTTTTTTTAAATCAATGTCAACAATTTTGATTACATTTTAAAGCAAAAAGAAATAAAGAAAAAAGGGTCTAACATGAAAAATAAAAGAAAATCTAAAACCTGCCAACTTCAAATAAAACAGCTCTGCAGTTATTCACATTTCTGAGCAAGATTTCATTTTGTTCATTCATGCAAATAACCAAAAAAAAACTGATTTAGAAAAAAGTGGTTATAGAAATCCGTTGATTCGTTTCCACTAATTAATTCTAAATTGACTGAATGAGAATATCTATGCAAAACGCGTAAAACAAAAAAGATTTTCAAATAATTTCCCTTTTTGTAGCCGTGATGTGTGCAGCTTTTAAATGTGTAATCTGACAAATATCGGCCATGTAGGTCTTATAATTACTTTCAACTTATTTTTGATGCTTATTAGCTGAATGTGGACTCACAGGAGCCACGTCAGCGGATGATCATCATGTGCAGCCTTTTTTTTTGCGCAACGAAAAAGTAATTAAAAAAGAGAAAATAAAAATCAAATATCTGCTGACAACTGCATGGATTAGGTGATATACTTTGGCTGGCATTTAAGCAGAAAATGACTTACAATAATTGCCCTCTAAATTTGCGAGTTGAACCGATGTGCCAGTCTTCCTGTTGGGTCGTGTGTGAATTTTGGGACTGAGAGCAGCTCTAATTTGTCACGCTGCGTTATTTTCCAGGGTTGAGTCGTGGAGACCTGGACCTGCCTAAAACTCATTAAAGACGAGGCCAAGTTCACCATCACTCACCCCGCGCACGCGTACACACACACGCACACACGCACGAGCATGTGCTTTCAGTTTACGCGCAGCCTTATTAATAGTTGGTGAGGTTATGTTTTGTTCGTTGAAGTTCTTCCATATAAATTAAAAGCTATAATCCACACAGGGTGGCGGTTTTTATACCGATCTAAGAGCAGTTTTTTCGAGTTTTTACGCCCGAAAAGAAGCGGATTTGAAAATGTTTTTTTTTTTTTTATTTACAGATAATTAAGTTCAGCAATTACATTTTATTTCTATTTTAACTGGACTCTTCATCGGGAGTAACTGAGCAGAGGGGTGTCACAAGTGATTCAGAGGCTTCATTCTGCATATTCGAATTAAAATTAACAGTTATGGGGCCAGAGGGGAGTGCATTTGTTGGAGAATGCACAGTCAGAGTACAGAACAGCGATTATTCGTTTAAAGCACCAAAGAAGAGACGCACTTATTATTTACAATTTCATATATTTTTTAATATTCCCATTGAAAGCAGCTACCAAACATCGAAAATTTAAATTGTAGTATCATTATTTTAAACGTTGAGCATTCGGCACCCAGTGCGTAAAAGCTGCGTAAAAGCTGCGCTCCGTGACCCCTGGAAACGATTTGACCCGAGCGAATAATCATAAGACTTAGCCTGATGACTGATGACTGGCCTGCACATTTTTGTCAGTCAAAGTGATATCCAAGGGAACAGATTTCAGGAAGAGAACAATTACAATACAGTCGTCAAGATGATGAAACGCCAGGCGCTGTTTTGTCTGTGGAACATTCAGGAGGCTATTTTAAGGGCCACATGGATCTGGATCGACATAAACCTGGAGTGTAAAGAAAATAGGTGACATACTGAGTTGTTTTTGTTGTTGTTGTTTTTACAATTAGAAGTGTATTTAAACTTGTGGTCACATTTGGGCCTATATATATATATATTCTCCATTTTGGTCTTTTCTTGTTGGAACGTTGCTGACTGCGTTTCAGCAACACACTGCTGTGAAAATATGAATGAAAAGTATTGTTTTGCAAATGTAAAATCATAGCAATTTATAATCAATGAGTGAGCTGTTTGAAGTGACCATATTTACAGTGTGAGCTGCTTCTTTAAGCCAGTGGATGTTATATGTAGCCTGACAATGAAGAAAAGGTTGTGGGGATGAGTGAGTGTGTGGGAAGGTGGGAAAGAGAGGAATTTACTTTTTAAAAATCAAATACACCTTTTAGCAACCTGTATGGTGACCCAGTAATGAGTGAAACAGTGTCTGCATTTAAGAGCTCAAAATGATGTCTTTTCTTTGCCTGTCCTGATGTTTACAAAAAACCAGGAGAGGGAGCCAGGTGCAAGGATTTGATGAGGAGAAGCAGCACAAAGAACACTGCTTGACTTTGAACAGGCCCAGATAACAATGGAGCATAAACGTGGATTTTTACAGATCATTTTTATGTATGTGTAAAAAATTGCTTTTGGTATTTTTTTTCTTTTTTGTGGGATTCAATGTGTGCATGGCAGGACACTGACACATGGGTCACATAAGAGGAGTGGGGAGGATGAGAGGGGGGGGGGGCAGCATGTTTCACACATCACATCTGTCAAGAACTTTTGTCCACCAGTATTATAGTCCAACAGAGTCCCACTGAAACACACGCTTTTTAAGATAAACTGCGGTTGCACGGAAAACTGAGTCATCCAGGAGACCTATAGGCTACTCACCAGGGAGCACAGCCCGTTAGAAGTTGTAATCCACTCTCTGCAGACGATATCAAACCAATAATCCCAGTGCAGGCCAGGTGGATTTAAGATTTCCTTTTCCGCTGCGCTCAAGTCTCGTCGTTTTTATCCGGATCTCTTGGAAAGTGCTTGGTTGGAGTGAACAAACTCTAAAGTTCTTCAAGGCTGGGACGGGGGGGTTTGGTGAACAAGGTCGCCCCCCTACCCGAAAAAACTAAAATCAGTGAAAGCGCTCCGTGCGCTGCGCAGCTTACAGGTCTGGTGCAAAGCAGCGGGATTTATAAAATATCTAAAAGTCACTGTGAGGAAGCAAGTCAATCCCTTTAACGATTCAGTGCGTGACTTTGGCCACAGCTGTTAACAAACAGGAGCATCTACAGGCAGCCCCAAAGTGCCACAGGCGGAAACGTCGTATGCTGTATTTTTTT